ACCGTTGATATTAAAGATATTAAAACGTTTATATGTAAGTTGAAAAATACCAGTTGATGAGAGTTGAACAAGTTGATAAATATGAAAGAGTGTGTACATCAGTTTCTTAAACTGTTCAAATTCATGTGACTTTCTAGTTTTTGCAATCAAATGAACTAGCAGTTGAGAGATAGAACATGTCACACAAGATTTGGGGGCTGACTCAAACCCAAAAAAAACATTTGAGAAACAATTACTTTTATAGGGCTGGTAGCATCACCAAGTCAGAAACAAACATGAATTACTCTAGGTTGCAGCACATGTAAGCTTTGATGTTGCAAAACATCATAGGGTAGAAACAAGTAGTTACATACTAGTCGAAATTGCTCTAAGTTTGTAAAGCTGCCTTTCAGTATGCATTACACCAGTCCACAGCCCCTATCCAATGCAGCAACCCAGGCCACCCCCCCTCCCAACTCACTCTTTGCCACAGAGCTCTGTCCAAATTTCAGTGAGACAGGTGAACAGCAGTCAGGATGCTTTTGAACACCTGAACTCCTGAACACCTGAACTCCTGAACTCCTGAACACCTCAACAAACTCCATTGAGCTCTGTGTACACAGCTTTTGAGCTGCTTGCTGTGTAGCCTACTGTTTCTTTGCAGCAGGTTTTTTCTTGGCTGCCTGCTTGGCTTTCTTGGCAGCCACCTTCATGCTACTCGGCTCATGTTTTGCAGCAGGGCGCTTCCGGGGAGCTGCCTCCTCTTCGCTCTTGTGCCCATCACTCTTCACAGCAGCTGCATCTGCATCAGCCTCAGGCACATCCAAAGCTAGCTTTTTTTCCACCTTGGCAATCTTGCTCTTCTCCTTGTCAGTTGGTTGGCCAGCCACTGTCACAGCACTGAACTGCAAAGCTGCTTGCTGGTGTGGCACCACTCGCACATTTGAGCTCATGGCAAGGCAGATTTTCAGGAAATATGGGGTCCTAAACCTATGCAAAGAGCAGCTGAACATACAGTGTGCAAAGGTGCCTGTTCATTGTTTGAGGCAAGCAGTCTCAAGGACATTCAGTCAGCTTTGAGTACAAGCCAACACTTCCCAGTCAAATTGAAGTCACTAATGCAAACTGTTTTGCCTTTGCCAAATTGTTGTATTGGGGGTTCCAATGCTTGTTCAACCTGAACACCTGAACACCTGAACTCCTGAACACCTGAACACCTAAACACCGGAACCCCCCAGTGAACTCATTGATATTGGCCACACAATGCCCTGCGCAGTTCTTAGCCTTAGCTGCTGCAGTGAGCTTGCAAAATTGTGACGGCAAACCTGCCTGCTCTCACAACTTGTAGTACTTGTCTTTCTCGATGTTGAAGCTGTGTGCCGGGAAAACAGCTGGAATGCCTTGCTTCAAGGTCTGGTGCTCGGCTTCCTGACATGTCAGAGAGCTGATCAAGTGCATTTTACTGCCTCAAAGTTCATTGTTGAATTTATTAGCAGCCAAGTTGCATATTTCAAGTTCTGAACAGCCTCAATGTGACTGTGCTTGGAGAGCTCCACATAGGTGGACAAAACATTGGGCTCAATGGGCTTGTTGGGGGCCACAGGCTTGGTATTGATCTCCAAGACAAAGCAAATGCTTTCAGTGGCCTTCACCTCTGAATCAGTGCACTTGTGCTTGAAGATTTGGCCAACGGGTTGGCGGAGGCTAGAAAAGGCTTCAAGCACAGCCCCCAATGGGGTGGGCTGTTGTGGAATTTCCAATGCAGAACCAATCTGTTGCACAAGGACCTTGGTGCTTTTGGTCATAGCTGAATCAATGAATTGCGCCCCTGCTTTCTTCATTTCAGCATCTGCCTGGGAGCCTGCTCTGAAAGATCCTTTGCAATAGAACCAAGGCTTTTCATCAGGACCAACTGCTGAATCCTTGGCGCAATGCAAATAAAGGCTTGCTTCCTTGGGGTCCAGAAACAACTGAAAGGCACCATCTGCACCCTGCACTCCTGTAGGGATCAAGCCATCTGGAGGCGAAACTGCTTCCACCACCACTTTGGGACCACACTCAGGCTCCCCCTCGGCCTTGCGTTTTTCACCTTGACCTTGGTCAGGGTTCCATGGCTGCCCTGAAGGATTGAACTCATCATTGTGAATCTTGACCAGCTTTGGGAAAGTCAGCAACTCTGCAGGATTCTCTGGGTCAGGCATGCTGACCTGCAACGACTCCCCTTCCGTGACCACCTTTTGGAGCAAGGGAAGCTGCAGATTCGATCTTGGGTAAGTCAGCTTGAAGTCATCAGGGTTGTACTTGGGTGCCGGATCTGCAGCATCTGATTTCACCACCTCTGGGATCGCTACAGTGCTGGGCATGCGGTAGTTCTTGCTGCGGATCTTCACCTTGACCACTGAAGCCAGGTCCTCTTTCACATTCTCTGCAATGACATTCCTGCCAGCTCAAAACATAAGAAATGCAATGTGAGTCGACTTCAATGCTGTTATTATTGCGCATATTTCCTTCAAACAAAAATAATATCAAATTAAAACCTGAACTTCCAGTCCTGATCACACCCTTCTCATGTGCCCAAGACACACCAACAAAGGCTAGGCGAGGGACTTCTTTGTTGCTCCCGCAGTTCAGCTCCACACACCCTTTGCCAGGCTCGGAGTCATACATCAGCATGTCGGCCACCAGCAGGAAATCATCCTTCTGGAGAATGGACCCCTTGCACAGCTCAGTGATTGAACTACAGAACACCTGAACTCCTGAAAACCACTGTGCTGTGTCCTGTCCATGGGCCACTTTGCCCTGGTCAAACCCCAGTGGGGCTTTCCAGTTCTGAAAATCTTTCCTTTCCATCGCATTGAGGAGGAAGGGGAAGCCACCTCTCTTGAGAAGGCTGCTGTTGCCAAAGACATTGTTGTAGGAGCGGGTGCTTTTGCTCACATCCCTGGTCGACTCTGCAAGGACAAGCCATACCTCAAAACCCAACTCTCTGTCGGAGGAGTAAAAGGTCTCTGAGTTCCACAGTGCATTGACTTTGCGCACAGAAAGACGGTGGGATGGATCGTTGAGCTGCTGCCACAAATTGTTCACGTGGTCCTCGATGCTGGCAATTCGTTCATCTCCAGCAGAGTCTCCCTTGCCATACACTGGCTGGCAGGGTGGAATGACAACATGGATGACTGTCTTTGGATTCTCACTGCATGACACTGCAATGGTGCTTGCCACTGCTGGGATCAGTTTGCTGGCTCTTGCTCCAGCCTTTGGAAAGTTCCATTCAAAAATACATGGGATGCCACTTGCATCCTTCAGCTGCTCGTCAGCAATCATGGCCTTTGCTTGATTGACCAGGAGTATTGCACCAGCAACATCTGCACAGCTGAACACCTGAATGAACTTTGTGCTCTGCTCCTGCCATGCCTCCTCCAAGGCCTCCTGTTGTCGAGATACTTGGCGGTTGAAGGAACCCATGGAGCTGTCCTCATGCGCCTTGACCTTTGCCATGTGGGCTCGCCAGGCTTTCTGTTCTTGCCCCAGTTGCTTGTGCAAGCGTTGGAGGGATTCCTGCTTCTCTGAACTGCCTAAACTCAAGAAGTTCAGTCCAGACAAGGCATCCTGTTGCTCCAGCAAGACGAACTGGAAGTCGCGCGGTTGGAAGCCTTTCTCTTGGCGAGGACTGCTGGCAAAATCTGTGTGTCCAGCTTGCCAGCCAGCCAATCTGATTTGACTTGGTCAAATCTGTCTGGCTTCAGAGCTTTTTGGAAATGGTCATCAAAGTAACACATGGCTTGTGCCATGTACCACACATTCAACTCTTTGCCGCTGTCACGCATGTCGGCGGCCACTGCACCATTCTTGTAGCTCAACGCCTGGCCAGCTTTCAGGGCTTGCTGCATGCGGTGATCCCATTTTCCTGAAACACGCTGAGCCCAAGTAGTGACTTTGTCCCAGCTGTGCTCATGGATGGCATGCCACAGGGGGTTATCCTCCTTCTTCCTTGGAAGTTGCAACATCAGGAACAAACAAGATCTGAATCCATCAAAAAGATCCAGGCCAATGCATTCTTGTGAAGCCAAGTCTCACTGGATTGGGGAAAGTCGGCTGCAGGAAGTCTTTGTTCAAGAGCGAGAGGGGAAAGGCAGTGTCCTGCGGCTGGTCAGCCATGTGAGCCTTGGCAATGATCTTCTGAAAACCTGGACCAGCTGAATCTAGCAAAAGGATCGCTGTCATCTCATTGCTGTGGATCTTGGCTTTAGTGACACTCAACTTGTTCTGCTCCACCATGATGCTGCGGAGATGCGCATCTCGAGTCCTCAGGCACACAAGTGAAGAACAACTGAAACTCCTGGACTCCTCAACTCCTGGACTCCTGAAAGCAGCCAAAACTTGTTATAAACAGCTGAGACCAAGGCCCTCTGGCTGGTGGTCTCTTGGCCAGAATTCTTTGGTAGACACTGTAGTGCTGGAACAAAGAAGGTTGGACGCGCGTCAAAGCCTCCCGCTTCTGGGCAAATGCATTCAGCATTGCCTGATCATGATTGGTGGCAGTAACAGCTGTGCAGTGAATCACCAAGCAACTCAGCAACCTTGTAGCCACCTCGCGCTCGAGCTTTAGGTCGCCCTTCACTGCGTCAATAATCTTGAGCTTGCAAGCATAGATGCACAGCAAGAATGATGACATGATGGTCGAGCTGCCAATGAACATGGCGATGCTGAACGCCGGAATCACTGAACCTGGCTTCACTGGATGCTGGTTGAGCTTGCAAACATAGTCAAAGAGGATCTCCAGGGGGTATTTGTTGGTTTGGTTGCCCTTCTGATTGGTCATGAACTTCTGGATGTTGTCCCTCCTAAGCTGAACCAATCCTGGAATCTTGCTGAACAAGCTAGCAACATGGATATTGACATGCCCATGCTTGGCCAAACATGCATGCAACCCAAGGCTCACAGCATAAGACTGAACTGGCCCCTTCAGCTGTGAGTCCTCCAAGAAGCCAAAGTTGTGCAACCTGATTTTGAAGCGGACTGGCACATCATTGTGGACCAGAACTTCTGGAACATCAGAAGTGATTGTTCCATTGTCTGGGGCTGCCAAAATCTTTCGGCATTCTGACTCCAGATTGGAAAAATCTGTCATCAGTTGGTTCTTGGCAGTTGTGTTTGGAAAAGTTCTCTCCATCCACTCATGCACTGAAGCAAGACTGCTGTCACTCATGTCAGCTTGCAGCTGTGCAAAGATCTTGCCATACCACTGATTCAACTTCTCCTGGCTTTGGCATGATTGGGCGTGGCAAGCAACAAGAAACACATAAGCCAGCAAATTCAAAAACATAAATGTGCCTCAGTGGAAAGAGCCATTCCACAAGGCTCTGCACTGAACACCTGAACTCCTACAAACTCCTGGAGCCAAGGCTTGGAAGGACATGCTCTGTTGCTGCTTGATTGTTTCTCAACAGCATTGCTCAATTGCAACCCTGCAAATCTAGGGAGGGGTCTCCTCTAAAACATATTTACTGTTTTTTATTTTGAACTGTTTTTTACCTAATAATAGGAGACCCCTAGCTTAAGCAACCTATGTTGCACAAAAAAAATCATTGTAGGCTCAAACGTTTCACAGCTTGTACGCAAGTCTCGATTCTTTGCTGCAGTTCGTGGCTCAGTAAGTCTCCCATCAGCACTCCCTTCTAGTGCTGAACCCCTGAAATGCTGAACACCTGAACTCCTGGGCTAAGCTACCCTTGCACACATATGCCAGGTTGTGTCTGGCAAAAAAGGGAAATGAATGTTGGTGCCAGCTGGCTGTTCCCTAACTACACCATATCTTGCCCTATGTGGGTGGGCAAGAAACTGAAACTGAACACTCTCATAGTGTCTCTCATGCACAAATTTGTGAAGCGCATCCGCAGCTTCTGGCATGTCAAACTTGGTTTTGCACAACTGAGCTAATTTGATGTAGCTCTGGATCTCACTCTCAGACATTTCTTTCTTGCCAATGAGCTGGCCAGGCTGGCTTTCTCGAATGGCAGTATGTCGTCCAGGTGGTGAAAGGTAAACAGGCGGCTGCAACAAGCAAGTGTCACGGACAAAGCCTTTGACGCAACAGTAGACTGCCTCATCCTCTTTTGGCTCCTCAAGCATCACTGCATACTTTCTTGGCAGATTCTTGCCCTTCATGCACATGAAGCAATGAGGGGTGGGAATGCCAGCACGAGGCTTGAAGCAGTTCCAAATACCCTTAGCGCCACACAAAATTCAAACCATGTTGCGCCACAAAGGAAGCAGCTTCACAGCCAACTAAGGGCAAATCAACTCCCAGTGGGTCCAACCAAGCACTGAAGTCATGAACTCCTTGAATCATGTTTGTCATCAGCACCTCCTTCCGGGCAGCGACCCTTGGTTCCAGTTTTGCCTTGATGTGATCAAGCATGGCATCTGGAGTCTGCCACTTGCGAAGGCCAATCAGTATAGCCTGCAACAGCTTTTGCAAGCAAACCAGAGCAATTCGGCTGTGGCTATGAAGTTAAATTGTGAGTTGCCAAATCAGTGCAGCATACAAACCCAGTCAGTCCTTGATCACACCAAACAACTGGTCAACATCCTGGCAGGATGCAAAAGGCTGAGAGAAGCTGTGGCCAATGTATGGATTTGAGCAGTGGCCTCATGTGTATGTCCCACCATAAGGTGGAACATAGTGATGGAGGTGAAGTACTCTTTGGCAGTGAGGTAAATCAAAGGTCTCATGGCCAGCTGGTTGTGACACTGTGCTGGGGTGTTGTCAGCCACAAGAACTAAATGAGGTGGCACTCTCCGGCCATCCCTCTCAGCTATCTTCCACACCATGTCCAGGACACGGCAAACCACCTCACACCAGTGATCCTCAGCTTTGGGCTGCTTCAAGCTTTTCTTGGAAACCAAATAAGAAAAATTGATAGACACCAGATTGCTCTTTTACCTAGCAAGGCTCAGCTCCATGGTTTTCGAGCTCTGATGTGCCGAACAAGAAGGTCCCCCATCCGTGGCATAGTGCAGCTGTGATCACAAGCTTTGGGCGGACAATGTTGTCAAGCTCTTTGGAAGGCTTGTCTTGGCCTAAATGGGGCCATGCTGTCCCCCACTTACCCATGCCATCAATAATCACAGTCAGCACTTCCTGGTCGTGCACTGAAGAGAATCGTAAACCCCAATAAAGTGTACGGTCTAAGTACTGGTGTCGTTGATGCTCTCGAAGACTGCGGGCAGCTCGAATCTTAGCTGGAGTGGCCCAGAAATGATTTATTTGCCACATCAACATTAACAATAAGTGAATAAATAAAACCGACAAAATATTTACCAGCTGATTTGGCCTAGGCACCTTGGTGCTCCAATCAGCTTTTGGGCTCCTGAGCACAGAATGAAAGTCAAAGCAGGTTTTGCATTGACCATGCTGAGAAATCTTTCTCATGACCAGCACATAGCGCCAGTGGCTGTAATAGCGCTTCGCAAATGTCTGGAAAGCAGGGCACTCACCATCTCCTGGATTTCTCTCAACATGAATGTCCCATTCAGCTGTAAACTGCCAGTATAGATCAATCAACCTTTGATGTTGAATGTATCTTATAGGCAAGCCCAAGGTGCCACAGTGAGCCTTCTCTGCTGCTTGAACATCTGCTGGAGGCATGCTGAGCCAGTCATAGCTCCAATGCTCCCATGCATCAATGCTGGTCATGTCTCTCTTCTGAACCCCTGAACTCCTGGACACCTGAACTCCTGAATGACTGCCCAGTTGTTTTGCCTTGGGGTACATTTGGGCCTCCTCTGGCATTGGCTCAGCAGCTGACGCATGGAGTGTCCGGAAAAAATGGTCACATTTGGCAGTCTGCACTGCCGCCCGGGATTGGCTACCAAAGCCCGACTTAGACAATCTCAAATCTGGCTGCCCACTGATCAGCCTGCGGACTGTTCTTTGACTACTTCCAAGAATCTCACAAAACCTCTGAAAGCAAATTGCATAGCCACACATGTGCCACTCCACTGTCTCCTTCACTGCTTCAGCATCTCTGGCAATCACGCTATTGTCTTGGTAGTAGTTGCAACGCAGGAGATGGCTTCTGTCAGGAAGTGGCAGCTTGACCCACTTCTCCATGAAACTGCAAACTTCTTGATGTGAAATTACACCTGCTTTGCATCCTGGGCGTGCACAGTGCTTCCGCTTGCAGTTAGATGAGAGAACACAACCTAGTCGCTTTGGGCATGCTCCATTTGTGTCATACTGGCTGGCCTCTTTTGCAATTGGTGCCAAATCCGAAGCAAGCCTAAGAGCAGCATCCAAATGGATCTGAGAGTTATGGGTGGTGAGCTTGCTCCCTGGATTGCTAGCCCATGGATTCTCCACCAACATGCTGTCACCATCAGCTGGAACGTCATCCTCAGCAACAAACCGCCATGGATCTTCACTCTGGTTCTGGTGAGTCTCATGAGCCCAGGGGTCCTCTTCCTCCCCATTCCAGGAATCATTCCACGGGTCTGGCTCAGGCACTTCTGCTTTTCTCTTTCGGCTCCTCTTTGGAGCCATGGAAAGTGCAAAAATCTGCCAAAATACTTTCTCAACACTTGAGCCAGGCAGTCATGACTAACATGTGTTGCACATGGACAAGGCTTCAAACTGCATTCCATGCTTTGCCCCACAATGTTCACAGTCTTGAAGTCTTTATGCTTCTCTCGCAAGACACTTGTACACTATCAAGGGCAAGAGCTGCTAGAACTCCTGAACTCCTGAACACCTGATCAAGCCCATGGGTCAGCTTCTGTGACAGTGTCATTAGCAGCCCAAGGATCAAAAACTTGTGCAGGAGCTGTGGCAACCTCGCACTCCCAAGGGTCACCGGATGACCATGGGTCCACCTCCTCTGTCTTCTGGCTTTGCTTCAGCTTCTTTTTAGAGGTTGTGCTGGCAGGGCCTCCCCAAGGATCATCTTCCACTGCATGCTGCTTTTTGATGGGGACTTGCGGCTTCCAAGTTGACATTTGCATCCATGCTGCCACAATTGCCTGGCCAAGAGCAGGTGGATAAAGGCCAGACTGCTGTAAAAGGTTCTGTCTCCCATCAGTTTTCAGCTTTCCATCATCAGTCATTCTTTTCAGCATCAAAGGCTCATGCTGCCTGCTGCATGAGCATTTTCGGACAGATGCCTCCAGCCACCCACCAGAACACATGAATTTGTACTTCTTGAGCATCTTTTGGCCAGGAGTGTTGTCATAAGCGCACCGGTCAAGCAAGTGGTAATGCACAACAGATAGGCTCGTCAAAATTCCTGACCAAGGTTGGTGTGTCAGGATTTTGCAAATTGAATAATAAGAGAAGTGATTGTCATCAGTCTTGGTTGGCTGAGCCCCTGGCTGATGTGCTCATCTAGGAAGGTGAAGATCATAGATCCAGCTGGATTCTCTATAGAAGCTTCGGCGTCACGAAGCAGTGCCAGGCAGAACAGAAAGACTGAAAGCCTGGCCATGAAATTGCCTAAGTTGGTGCAGCTGGCAGATGGTGCATGCCACTGACCCTTGCAAACTCTGACAGTGAGGACTATGAAGCCAAAACATGCATGCCAAGTTGCCATCACACACAGCTTCCCAAGCAACATTGCCCTCTGGATTTTTCGTGGTCCTTTGGTTCTGGTTCCTACATGCAAAGCCAAATGTTTTGCATTCTGGCGCCATGTGCGCCAGGCCACCAGGCTTCAATCGCATCACCAATCTTACAACTGACCAGAATCCACTCCTTGCACAAACGCTATCCTGGCCATGAGTCAAGTCATATGCTTCTGCACAAAACCCCTTCTCTCTGGCAGCGTGGACAATAGATTTTGCTTCTGAAAAAATCTCCACAACATCCAAATCTCTCTGGCCACAGGAAAGTGCAGGATCTTCCACCACAGATGCCAGAGTAGCACCAAAAAAGGCAAGCTTTAGTGACAGCAAAAGGCATTGCTTTTGTGATGGTGTCAGCGGCATGCTGAGGCTGGGGCTTCTCAGCCTTCAACTTCAACTACTGAACACCTGAAGTCCTGAACCACTAAGACCCTGCAGCTCGAAAGGTGCTCAAACTGAGGCAATGCATTGCAGGAACCTAAAGGTGCTCAAACTGGCTTGGCAGCAGGTGGCATATTTTCAATTCTGAGGCTGGTGCACATTTGTCAGTGGAACCTCCAACTCCTGAACACCTGAACGCCTGAACTGAATTAGTCTGCCCTGGCTCAAAGCAAGAGGCATTTGAATTACCAATTATCATCATGACATACAAGGTAAGGCATCACTGACCACGACTTCTGCTCCTGGACCTCGATTTTCCCTGGCCCATGCAATGCAAATTCACAAACAATAATGTAAATTGTGTGTTTTCAAAGTGTCTTTCTGGTGCCTTTTTCGAGCTCGATGTGGCTGATCTTGTCTGACACTTCTCCTGGACAAAGAGGTCCTGGAGAACGAAGCGCAACTTTGCTTCTAATGCCTCCAAGTTCAGTACAAACAGGCCTGCTCAGGCTTGTTGAGCTTGGATGCAAACTCTGGGTAAAGTGTGGCCAGCTGCCATCGGCGCATGTGGACTGCACCAATGATTGGTGTCCCTGGACTCAAGTTCTGCTCTAACTGGGAGTCTAGACTTGCTTCAAACTCTTCCCACGAAGCCATGGCAAACTGGCTTGGATCAAGCTCGTAGCTGTGCCTTGAGGGAGTCCACACTGTGAGGGTGATGACAGCTGACTGCTCTCACTGAACTATTTTTTCATTTATGTTTCATGTGCATGTGGCATCGCTTGGGCACCTTTTCTTTTCCAAGCAAGCTAAAAGTGCTAGTGAAAGTGGTTCGCAGGCAGGAACTCCTGAACTCCTGAACACCTAGAAGTGGTCCTAAAAATCAGATAATTACTTGCAGATTTTCATGCGCAGCAGGCTTCTCAAAAGCGATCATCCCCCTCATGGTCAGAAGCCAGAGCTGCCTCCTGGTTCTTGTCACCCTTTGCTTCAAGCGTTGCATGGCCAGTGGTTTGGCCCTTGGCATGTTTCTTCTTTTTTTCTGGTCTCTCTTGCTTCTTTGCCTGTTTCTCCTCCTTCTTGGCTTCTCTTTCACGTTTGCGGGCCAGGACTGAAGGTGCAGTTGACCAAGCTTTGTTAGCTGCACACATTGACATCCCTTTGAGCATCTGGCTACTGATAAAGTTGATCCTGTCAATGTGGTGACCTGCCAGCTGAAAACATTTCAAATTGCAAAGGGTCAATTGGTGGCAACCTGCCTGATTTGTGTCCACTGTTCTTGTGAGCTGGAGTTGTATCTCCTGGCCAGGGCTGTGAGGGGG